TCTTGTGCACGGAGTTGAACATACGATCGACGCCGGCTTCGTCGACAGAGTTTCGCGCACGCGAGATTACTTGGGCGACCCTGTTTGTCAAGTTCTTGTGTCGAGCTCGGAACTTCTTGTACCACCCGCTGGTAAGCGCTGTTTGGAGCGGGTCGATACGGCGCAGCATCTGCGTGGCCTTGACAAGGACGGCTTGACGGCTGGGAGGGTACCCGTTTTGTTGCATGGCGCCAATCCAGGCAACCAGATCGGCTTCGCAGGGCTGCGGAATTGACGTTTTTGGGCCTTTGCGCTGCGGGTCTTTTCTTGTTCCGGCACGGGACTCACGCATCTTTCGCATGAGTGTGCTGTACGGAATTCGTGTCTTCAACGACACGATCTTGCCGCATTCACCTGCGAGCACGGTCAGCACCGCTGCGTCAAGTTCCTTCGTTGTGTAGCGACTCCGAGGGGTGGGCATGGCCGCGCAGTACCAGAGGTGATCCAATACGATAAAATTCGGTTTCGCGCGTCACTGGTATAGGTTTTTAGAGGTTATCCCGCCTAATATTTTTGTTATTTGATTGGCTAATTCCAAGAGATCATAAATAGGTCCGTGCGTCGTAAATAGATCCTTTACGTTAGAATAATAGTTTATGAGAAGTTATGGGATTGGGATTGGAAATGGGACGTTTGCGAAATCTCTAATGAGTGGATTCGACGTTCCCACGAACTAAGTGCCGAGGTCGCGAAATATAATGAATTTCCACGAATTTTAATGGGATTCCACGAAATATACCAGATATTATTCGAAATTTACCGCAAAAAGGTTTAGTATTCGTTACGTTTTTTACCTAGTAATTAGCCTCAAAACCAGTGACTTTGTATATCGCGATAGACGAATCAATTTACGAATTGACAGCACATAATTTTAAGTTATTTCGTCCTTGGTCTATTACGGAGTCATATGTTATATACAGACCTTCTGGTTAATACCTCACCACATGAGCAATGATACAGTCCTAGAGTGGTTACAGTACTAAGTGAAATATTATGCAACCCTTGACTTTGGAAATCACTCTGTCACTTCGGAAGTCAATAAAATTATAACTAAAACAATAAAGCATATTAAGAAAATACCATGTAATCGTCCAATCAAAACTGAAAAAATCAACACGTCACACAAATAAGCCACGAAAATTGCAATGCACTTGGCGCGAAAACGCACCACAGACAAGTTTCACAGCGAGCATTTCTCAATTTTCGCTCAATGGTCCCCGTTCCACCCCTCGTCGCAAACTCCCTCCGCGCTAAACACCCGACCCATCGGACAGGCCGTGGACCTCTTGGCAGCGTTGCAAACCTCTCGGCAGTCTGCTGTAGATGTAACATTCCAACAAACCAACGCACCAGCCGGATCGTTTTCCGAGAAGAAGCGGTACTTCAGCAAGAAGCATGGCATGTATGGGGTTGCAAGTGTGCTCCCCAATGGTCTCTGCGTACCTCTGCTATCCCTGGAAGCCATGCGGATATATCCATTTGTCAATCCAACGAGGCATTTCACACCGCGGCCATGAAGAAACTACGTGATGAGACAGACATCGTGGATCATGGTCCATTGTGTAATGAGTATCCAGACTCCTGGCACTGCTTGCTGACAAGGGGTACCAAGGCCTCCATTTGCGTTCCATTACGCCGGCGAAACGACCAGTGGGGGGGGTTTGTGTGCCTCGGACATTGCAACAAATGACAAGATTTCAAGCGATTGTGTCATCGTGGAGAACTTCTTTGGGCGTCTCAAGACTCTTTGGTCAGATGTCAACGACAATTATTCGTGGAAGCGTGAGCATTACGACGTCTTCTTTCAAACTTGTGTTGCTCTGACGAATGTCCATATTCGTTTTAACCCACTGCGCGACGAAGATGGAGAAGATTTTAATAGGTACTACAATCGATTGATCTCAATTGGTGAGAGAGTGAAACACAAGAGGGCTAGCACCATTTCCAAGTATCACGAAAAGCGCAAGCATCGAATAGGCATTGTACTTCGCAGTGAGCATGTAGATGTTGCTGCCGATTTTGATAGTGCGGTATTTTTGATTAATACTAGAATATCAATTTTTTGTCGAATAACAAATGTTGCAATTAAATATAAAGTCACTCTATCGAAAGGAAGTGACTCGGTCGATTGGTTAATCACTCAGTCATTTCGTTAAAATTGTGGCACAAAATTATGTGAAGGATTGAATACAATTTCACAGAGTGAGTTTGGAATGTGATGGGTCTATCGACAAACGCTCAGTCATTGCTCAAGAGGTTTAATTGGGTTAAACGTCCAGAATAATCTGGATACAATGGAAACGTTCGTACGGATAATTGCTTTATAAAAAGACCAATTATATTTGATACTCCTTTTTGGGCAAAATTTGCTTGGCTCGATATATTTCCATACAAAATGGCCTGTTGGTTTAAATTCTATTAACGTTACTGGATCAATTTTTCACCAATCGAAAATCTGAAACGTAGCTTCTGTTGGGCTTGTCCAGTTCTATCGTTATTACGGCCAATTTCCTAAAAAATATCAATACAAAGTGGGAATAGCTGTCCAAAGACAAGGAGTCTTTAGATGACTAGCACCAAACTAGTATTAATAGTACGTGTGCAAGTATTATAATAATACTCCGAAGTAATAATAACTGGAGTACTACTCAAGTAGTCAAGTACTACGTAGTATTAATACTAGAACTACATACAGTACTACATACTGTACGGTAACTTACTCTTAACACTACCCTGTACTGTAGCTACTGTAGGTAAAGTCGTGATGGAGAGCCAGGCGTAAGGATGATGTATCTTGGTTCTTCGACCAGAAATGTATTCTACGTATGTACGTGTACCAGTAGTAGTTAGTGCACAGATCGGATGCAGAATGTGCTGCCTTCATCAACTGAAAATACGTCCGATGTAGTTGCTGAGTAGGGTCACATTGCGTTTTTTGTGGAATTGGGGTTTGAAGTTGAATTTTGTCGACTCCAACGAAAAACGACCACAGACACAGGCTTGATTCCTATACGACTTGGAGAAAAATGCGCAAGGCAACCGTTTGCATCACCTCCTGGCAAATTTGTTATAAAACTGTACTTGTACATACTACATGTAAGTTACTTAGTACGTTTCAATGTTCATCGAATCCTCCTGACTGGGCCTAACTTACTAGAATCATCATCTGCTCTGAAGCTTGAAATACTACTGTAGTGTGTGCCTAAGGTCTTGCCGTTTTATGGACGATTTACTCAGTACGGATCAATGTTGTGCCATTTCGACTGGCTTACGAGCTTATGTGAACTGTGTCCTGTCTTCCGCCCTACCACAACTGCATACATGTATAATGTGGACGTCGTTCCTTCGCCACACAATCTGTACAAACACTATAACACTAGACTAACGTTAGCGCAACTTCATACCAAGTCCACCCTTCAACCTTCACCAGCGCACTGTACTGTACAGCGCACTTCATTGTTTGTGCATTGGACCCTTCGTCGTCCCACTTGTTTATTTGTCACCACCCGCACGCAGTAATGCCGGCTTTTCATGAAAATGGTCGGAGCAATTGACTTATCCGGATGAAATCACTTGACATTTGACTGCGGCCTCGTTTATCCGGATATGATCATTGATCCATCACGACACACACAATCAGGCCATCCATCGCCAACATGCGACAGACGCCGCCGTTATTGCCGCCGCGGCGGCACTCGCACGCGTCCATCCTGCACGAAGCCGATGTCTTGCATGTGCAGAACCAAGTGCTCGAGGCCAAGGTCGTTGAACTCACGACTGAGCTTGTGAAAACGCAGTATGAACTCAAGCTCGAGCGCGTCAACTACAAACACTTGCATCGCAAGGTTCTTGGGTTGGAAGCCCAGCTAGAAAACCAAGTGCTTCATGTCATAGATCTCGAGCAGCGCTTGGCATGCACCGCTGCAGACCTTGCAGCTGCACAGCGAACAAACGAGGTATACGACCTACTCCACGGACTTCGTCATGAATGCAATCTGGTAGGTGGCAGGTCAAGCAGCTCCAACGACAGACGTGATAGCCATGTGCACCGAGCATTTAACAATGCTGCATGAAGATTTGGATATGTACGACGCGCGATGTGCCATGTATGAAGCTGGCATCCGCGAGCTGTGGGCAACGTATGTGCATCCATCCAAACCAGAGCTAACGAAGCACGCTACCCCCCCTCCAATCCACGCCACGAACAAGTGTGACAAGGTCCGTGAACCGAACGACGCGGATTCAGACGACACTGCGTCTATCGACTCGGACGAGTATTCCGGAGGTCAGGTCGAAGTGGTGGAGATGGCGTACCACCACCAGCTAGACGAGCTGTGTGAGGCGTTGGCAGTCAGCGTAGAGGCGCAGCACAAGCAGTTGGCGGCCATCAAAGCGATGGAAATCCAGCTGGAAATGGACAAACGTCAGTATGAAGAGGTCATGTCCACGACACGATGTGAAACGGATGGGATGATTGGAGATGTCGACGTACACTACTATTTGCACGAGGTGTTGGTCAACATCGATCGATGATTGGTGCCCTGAACCACAGAGCTAACTTATGAATGCATGTCGCCATGTATGTCTATATGTACAAAGTCGACGTGGTCTGGCATGACACTACTAGTACTGTATTCCCTAGCGCATACTATGTTAACAGTAGCCTCGATTCATTTGATTGGTTGTGCTAGTCGGTGTTTGTTGATGCAGTAACATTTTGGCGAGTTTGCAGGCTACAGGAATCACTTGCCAGGCGCATTAGGGTCGTCGGGAATAGTACATATGTGTAACGTGACCTCGCATTGATCAGGTGAGCATCGAAAGTTCGGCTGGTCAATGAGAGGTCATATTATGCTGCTTGCTTGAACCAGATACTAACAGTTACTAGTAACCTGCTACGTCCCTCTTAACGGTGAACGACATTGGTTGTATCCACGATTCCGCAATGCCGTTAAGGCTCAAGATGCACCCGGCCATCGAGATGTAGCTGTACAAATAGCACGCGGTCGTGCCCACGACATTGACGAGGAAGTCCATAGTCCTGGATCCGCGGCCACGTAGAAGCGAGGAAGTCGGGAGTAAACACACCACGAGGCGCTTGAGCCTGAGCGCGTACACGACCTTGGACATGAGCAGCATCCTACACGAAGGAATCCCCCCGAGCACAACCACCATACAGTAGCCAGCAGTGAAAACACAAGTCAAATCTGCAGCAGCCGCTCTCGTCCATGTCCGTGCCGTCGGCGTGCGTCGCATGCAGCAGCCAAAGTGCACACATCTGCCGTGTTAGGTTAGTGTTTCAAATTACTCGATTGAACCTATAAAACGTACGCGTTGAACTAGTTAAACGTTACGCTAAAATTCATTGCGCAACGCTAAAATAATGTCTTGCGAGTTGTATGCTTGGGAATATAATGAGCTCCTAATATACTCCCTTCCCCACGTTTGAGTGAAAAGATCTACGAACGAGATGAGTGCCGCCGCGACAGATGCCGATGCCGCGCCCATAACCGCCGTATACGTACCTGGACTTCCCACGGAAGTGATCACGCATCCCCTTGTGCTCTTGTCCATAGTGGACCATTACAACCGCGTGGCGAAGGACACATCCAAGCGCGTGGTCGGTGTTTTGCTCGGCAGCGTGTCCAAGGGCAAATGCGACGTCACCAACTCGTTTGCCGTGCCATACGACGAAGACTTGCGCCATCCTACAATCTGGTACCTCGACCATGACTACCTTGAGAACATGTACGCGATGTTCAAGAAGATCAGTGCGAACGAACGCATTGTCGGGTTCTATTCCACGGGACCGAAGATTCGCACGTCCGACTTGAGCTTGGACGAGCTGTTCCGTCGGTATTGCGTCAACCCTGTGCTGGTGATCTGCGATGTGCGCCCGAACGTTGAGGGGTTGCCCACCACCGCGTACGGGTCGATCGAAGAAGTCGAAGAGGACGGAAAGGCCATCAAGCGCACGTTCAAGCACATCAAGTCGACGATTGCCGCCTACGAAGCGGAGGAAGTGGGGGTCGAGCACTTGTTGCGCGACATCAACGACCCGTCAGTGAGCTCGTTGGCGGGACAGGTCAAGCACAAGATGACTGCGCTTAACGGATTGCAAGAGCGTGTGGACGAGATGCGATTGTACCTGCAACATGTTCAGGTCCGATATATATGTTTCTGCATGTCGGTGCCGACGACGGGCGACTCATGGGATATTCTGGATGGTAGGAAGGCAAGGTGCCCGTGAACCATCAGATCGTCTACAACATCCAGACGATTTTCAACTTGTTGCCTAACTTGAACGTCGAAGAGCTCGTCCGCGCCATGTTCGTCAAGACCAACGACATGCATCTGGTACACTATTTCGCCTCGTTCTACAATTATTGAACCTTGTCGCAGGTGATATACTTGTCATCGTTGATCCGATGCACGATTGCCCTGCACAACTTGGTGAACAACAAGATCAAGTACAAGGAATCGGAAGACAGCAAGGACGAGACGCCTGTCGTTGTCGTGGCGGCGGCGCCGCCGTCGAAGAAGGACGCGGCGGTGGATACCAAGCCCAAGCAACCGTAAGAGGGAAAAATAGTCGAAAGTGCATTAAACACAATATGGCTGTTGCATCGTGTCACCTACACTAAACGAGCTGGTATCGCTTCTCCTGCCCGAGCTAAATATGTCGCTTGTCCCTGTGACGTAAATGTCTCCGCCAGACGTGTACCCGCTCACATAGATATCGTCGTCGTCGTCGTCTTCATTGACCGTTGGAGGTAATGTGGGCCTGCTTGGAATGGCATGCTGTTGTACGGCGATGGAATGAGACTCTTCTTCGTGCATGACGGTCGATGCCAGGATAATGTGACTGCTGCGACGTGCGTCAAATATCGAAGACCTTCCGCCATGTAGTTTTACGGTGGTTGGTGGACCTTTCTTTCGCATCACGTTGTCAGGCAATGCTTCAACCGCAGACTCAGGTCCATGACCCCATCGCCAACGATTGCTTCGCCCCAATAAAAACAGGTACAACGCCGTGCCGATCAAGAGGATTCCGCCCACGACACACAAGATCACAATGGTAGTCGTGCTCGAGTTCTCGAGGAGGCGTCGCAGTGTCCACGCGGAAGGCGAATGTATGGATTTGGTAGACGGAATGGCGTTTGCTTGACGGAGAAGCATGAGAACCGGTTGTGGGAAACGGAACCAACTGCAAAATGCGCGCATTTTCGTTCTTCAATCTTTTTCGAATCACATATGACAGAACAGTACTCGTCCAAGGTAATTACAAATGCTACGTTGGTAATATATCGAATTCCCGAGCAATTCGATTGCCATACTACGCATGAAGGTATGCAGTTGATGCCAAACGTGCTCTTCAAGTAAATCGCGGTGGTCTTGGGGATGTTGAGGCCTTTGTTTGGAACTTCTGGACGTGGGGGTGCAATGTTGATGGGCCAAAATTACCTTAAGTCTATATATGAAGACAGTCATTACTACCTTAAAATCACGACAACTTCAATGCATACAGTACTATACATATATACTACAGTAGTATTCGACGGGAAATACTTCGAAATTAAATTGGCGTACTCCTGCACTCTACCTGAATGTAAAATTGCAGGAATAATCTATGGGTACAAATGGACGGCAAATACAGTGTTGTCCTTCTATTGTTAGACTTGTAGTACTAGTAGTACTTCCCAGTGGTTTATCCCACGCAAGAATCGTGTCCACACAGTATGTTTAGAGCGCGTCTGGCAACATTTTGTTTCTCAGAAATATTGCAATAAGGGTGCGTCTGGTAATACATTTCAAAAAGAATATTCCATTTTCTCGCAAAATGGAGGTAAAAGGTCCATTTTGTAATACTACGTAGTATGGCGTCTTGGGCCTCTTCAACGAGTAAATCCCACTGGAATTATTGGATTTGGGTTAAAACTCTTCGAACAAGACATGTTTCAATATTGATCAGATTTGTTGAATTCGGCCCCAATATGGGGTTTTGGGGCTGAATATTGCAATATTTTCGGTTACCAGACCTACCCCAAAACGCCATTTTGATGCAAAATGGAATTATATAAATCTGCGTCACGCGTCTGGCAACAAAATGGCAGGACCATTTATTATCGAGCTAGTGACAATATTATGGCGTTTTAAAATACGGCTCCGAGGTCCATTTTGATTACTGTAGTGAATACTAGTACTGTAATCGTGTTGGACTAAGCTTATGAGTTGTTTCGGATTCCAAAGCATTTACAACCACACGCTCCAACGCAGTTTGGTTTAGCTGTGTGAACCTCCTTTTTGAACCCGCTGCCGGCTAGCTTGGGCTTGTACCTGCGTGACAAGAAACGAATCACGGGCGAGCGTCCAGATGGCACGGCTGTCCTTCATTCCGAACGATGTTGCCATTTGGAATTGTTCTGCAAGAAAAGCACAATGACGTGTTTGGCAAAAAGTTCGAATATTTTCACACAAAATGGAGTTTTCATCGCTATTCAGTAGTAAAAACTGATATTCGACCCCTTACGAAATTCCGTTTTATCCTCAACTGTTATTAATACCAGATCCGGTCTTGGAATTGAACGGTCGAGCTCGTCCCAGCCCCTATATTCAAGGGGCAAAGTACCCAACCAGTGAACCCTTTCATCTAACTGCAAACTCCCTCCCAAGCCCTAACGTGGTCACTGACAGTGAATGATCACAAGCCTGCTTGAAATGGGATGGAATGCAGTACGTACGTTACGGGTGGCTAATGACATCATATGGTACTTCAATTATCATCCCTGACTCGCTGATACGATACCCATACGACTCACTGTGCCTGCCACCTAGCACCCTTTGAACACGTCACTGAGGGTACATTGATAAACGTGGCCAGGGCCATGTACATGATGTAATCCATGTATCCGTGGTTGATATTTTCTGGGCACCAGTACGAGAAGCGACGCGGCGTTCTCCACATCGCCCTGAACGCCCTCGTGGTTTGGGCACTTCGATTGCGTCGGTATGTGGGTGTAGAACACGTGAATTGGATCGGCCACACGCACAAACTATGCAGCAAATACATGTGGATAAAGTACACCCACGACAGATTGTTTATGGGCTGGTAACTTCCCCCGACTTGAAAAAGTTCTTGTCCGACACAAATTCGAGCAATCCACTCCCCCGACGCCACACTTAGCCCAGGGTATATTGGCCCCCCAAAACACACAGCTCCGCCAGTGCTTTCTCATATGCCGTGGGGGCTTTACGACTTTGGGCCACCCACGCATAAATCTACAACAACAATCATATATTCACGAACCATTGGCCCAACCAATCAAGTGGTCATTACCACGTGGTCTAGAAGGGGGAGCAATAAGACAAGTTAAACTGACACAGCATGGCGAAGGGAACTTGGGGGGCCAAATCAAAGGTCTGTCTGTTGGGTCATCACATGGTAAATGGAATCAAATTGGTCGTTCAACAGGAGCGGCACGACCAGGAAACTTGCAAATAGGAACGTGCGCATCACTTGATCTTTATGTCAAGAATAGACGACCGAGAGAGCGCGGGGTGGCCATCCAAATATGACGACGGATCCTGCTTTTTCGTCACTCACAGCACGCCCCTAAGAATACCAAGCCCCTTGCAGTCCATGGGTCAGCATGGACCCCGGGGCACAGAAATTGGAGCCACATTGAACGCAAACGAGCTACACAATATATGCGACGAGCCCCCCCCACGACGCCCCACATGTCAGGGCACACGGCCGTGCTAGGGTGCAACTCCGCAAAGAATCCCGCCCGCGAACGCGCTTTTGACTGGAGGCTGCCCAATGAATCTACAAAGAAGGTGGAAACTCAGGAATCCAACTGGGATCAATTGCTAAAGATTGTCCGACACGAGCACTCGACGACGACTGTGACGATGTGTTGCGTCAGAGAGAAGTTTTTGAGGTGAACTCAGGTTCAGTCTCCTCAATACAAGTATGTCTTGTGATATAGTAGTGGTGTACTAGTATTCAGATGCTTGCGGTGATACTTTACTGTGAGCTTGTACAAGAGTACTGCTTGCATGTGAATCAACGATGATGTATCTATATAATTACTACTAGTACCACAACAAACTCCTTTATGACCTAGACACATGACTATTTGGGCATGGGGCACTTGCTCGTCTTGGGGTCCAACACGCCGTTGCCGCCGGCAATGCGGTAGCATTTCGTCGACGGGTAGATGGACATGACGCTCGTGGTCACGGAGAACGCCAAGGCCGCCGTGAAAAACGTGATGAGGATT